AGAGGGCAGTCTCCTCGACACGACGACGTTTCCCAACACCCTCATCCCCTCCAACGAGGGAGCGCTTACGTTGACTCGCCTCAGGCATAGCCTTCTCAGGAGAGGCGGGAATGTGAATAGTTGGAGTGGGCTAGTCGTGCGGAGGAGACTGCGGCGGAGAAGATGCTGACCTCTCGAGCTGTTCTGGTTGTTCGGATGGCTGGTCAGCTTGAGGGATAGTCACTGAAGGTTGTTTGACAGTCACCTTTGGAGGCGGTGAAGTCGAACGAGTGGATTTGGAGGTAGTCGAGTCAGCTGGCCTCGAGCTCGATTCCTCAGCGGTCTGCTTCTTCCTCAGAGGAGCTTTCCTCCTGGGCATAGAGATGGCGGGCATCTCTGCAAAAAATTTACGCGTAAGTTAAAGCCATGATAGATAAATAATATGTGGAACAAACATAATGATGTGAAACAAACGCGATAATACTCGAGCCTGTTCGATGATGACACATACCTAGGTCACCCTCTATCCGGATTTGATCGAGGGTTTTCTGGCTGGGAAGAGGACAGGATTTGTGGGTAAGTAGTCCGCAGAAATGCAAGAGGTTCTCGTCCTCGAGCAAAATATTCGACACGACGGGTTTGCTGTTCCAAACCACAATCCGTTGATCGAAAAGGGCATTGGTAGAAGGTACGGAATACTCGCGCGATAGTTCCTTTAGCCAAGGAGATGACGCCCAGGGGAAAGCAGGTTTAGGCTCGACAAAAGCGAACTTGTCTTTCCACCTGGGGACGTTGGAGGGAGTGTCCGAAATGAAATGGACATCATTGTGGCTCTTGAGGTAGATCCCCTGAGCGTGTTTGGAGGGTGTATAGCAGTAGTGGAAGAAGTCCAGGTCAAGCCGGCCTAAACGGATGTGGCAGAGGATGATGAAGACAGTGATAAAACGGATGGCGTTAGGTGGAAGTTGGTTCAAGGGCAGGTCGAACCATTTACAAAGGTCGACCAAATCGCGACTTAAGGGAAAACGGACGCCGAGTTTAAATTGGATCTCGAAGAAGGTATAGCAGTTTTTGGGAGGGTTGTCATAGGTATCTCGAGGGCCGGGAGATATGAAAGCCCAGCTGGTAGGATAGCCAACCTCTTCGGCATCTAGCCAGCCAGCTATGAGGGAGCGAGAAGAGGAAGAAGTCTTCCTAGAAGAGGTAGACACCTTGGTCGACTTACCCTTCTTAAGTTTAGGGGAAGAGGTAGCCCGAGCAAAAATAGAATGGCGAGAAAGGGGAATGTTATCTTTGTCTTTCGCGGCAGCGGCTTCAGCGGCATTAAGAGCCTCTTCAAAGGCATCAGAGGCCCCAAACGCCGGTCGACGGCGATTGAGAGGGATATAGTCAAGGGTATCCTCGTCCGATTCATCAATCAGACGAGTAGGTTGGCGAGGAGGAGAAGGTGTGGTGTAATCGGAAGGGCGTAGAACGCTGATAGGAGCGTGATTGTAGATTTCTTCGACGGAACGGGAAGGTGAGTGAGGAATAGGCCGACAAGCGGGGAAGGATGAGGTGGTGATCTCGTCTTCAACAGAGTGGTGGCTTGGTGCGTTAGAATCAGCGAAATCTGAAAAGCAGAACGAAGAAATGAGAGGAAGAAAGAAAAGGAGTTAGGGTTTTTGAAGCAAAGAAGGAGGTTTTTTCTTGCCACAGACGAGACAAAAGGATTTGGGAAAAAGGAGAAACAATAGAGAAAATTGGAAAATTTAATAAAACAAATGCACACAAATATAAATCGAAGCACAGAAGACTTACTCATGGTTGCAGACGAGAGTGATCGCCGAGAGAAGCCTGAAATTGAAGGAGCGAAAACGCCGAAGAGCAGGGGAGCGCAGTTTGCAGAAGGCGAAATTAGGGCACAAGTATGTAGAAGATTGCAAAGGTGAGAAAAGCTGAAAAATTGGCTAAGTACCGTATTTATAGGGGTACAGGTGAATAAGGTGAAGAGTCAGGGGAGATGATCGTTAGATAAAAGAAGATCCAACGGTAGAAAAAATTAGAGAGGTACAGATAGCGAGGCGGCACAAATCGCGAGGAGGCGCGGTGATTAAAGGAACTGAACGGAAAGGACATGTGGCAGGCGGAGATTATGCTGATAATAAAAGGAAATAAACAACAGTTATAGTGTGCATTAAAATAGACCACGTGGTCGAGAAAAGGCGACAACATCAACAAAAATGATCAAGAGAAGAGGCCAGGTGTGAGTGGGAGATCGAGAGGATTGACAGAATGAAGAGGACAACTCGAATCCACTCTTAGATCGAGTCATTCAGACTCGACCAGAGTGGGGGGGACTAGATGATATGGGATGTTATATAGCTGAGGAATAAACCGGTTTGCATCATCGGTCGAGCAACCTCGAAGTGGAGAAAACTGGATTGGGAGAAGGAGGATCGACCAAAAATAAGAAGATCGAGCAGAATAGCAGAACTGGTCGAGGATCGACCAAAAGGGAGGAGATCGAGCAGAATAGCAGAACTGATCGAGGATCGACCAAAGGGGAGGAGATCGAGCTCTCAACAGGTGAAGAGCAGTCTAGAGCGTGGCGTGAACGCGAGAAGGCGCGTGGATGACGTTGGAAGATCCCAACGGCCTGCGCAGAGGAATAATCTCCCTCAGCTTAGAGGGACACGTGGCGAGAATATATTGGTGCAGAGCGATAGTGGCGAAAGCCACTCCTGACATCTCTGACACACACACACACTATGTGTGTACGGACGGGCAGTATGGGCAAGACAGCTCACCAAAGCCGGGCAGTTTTTAGGGCAGGTATCTCACTCCTATATATATAGGAGTGGGTCTTTTCTTGTGACTCACGATTTATCCATTCTTTACTTTGGAAAATTGAACAAACACATACTGACTTAAGCATCGGAGGCTCTTCACCGGAAAACCCCTCCGGTGTGAGAGTTCTGTGCAGGAACGCGGCGTTCTACCGGCGAGGAAGAAGGAGGCAAGCTTATTTCAAGCCGGTCGGATTGTTTTGTGTTACCACTTTTGAAATATGATTTTAAATGTGTAGGGTCCTAAATATGCATATGTATAATTAAATATGCAAATTTAGGGGCAATACATTAAAATTCTTTAACTAATAAGTAATGTGCATATAAAATCTTAAAAGTATTTATAACATAGATATTCTTTATTTGATACAAATAAATATCAAATGCTTTTTTAACTAATCTAATAATGGATATAAATCATCCATGCAAATGATCTATATAGTATAGGAAATTTATATTCACTTATATAAATGAATGCTATACTCATTTTATATCGGATGTTCAAAAAAATTGAGCAGATATACACTAAATCGACCCTGGGTGATCGAGTTATGGGTCAATGACACAGGTTGATCCTGAGTGACCATGTTATGGGTCAGTTTGACCAGACGAAATCGATTATCGAACTAAATATAATTTTTAATATTAAAAATATTTTATTAAAATAAATATAATGTAGTTCATACTCCAAATAATGATATTAAGAATGCTTTTGTGACAACATGTTTAAAGAATTATGAACATTTATATTTTATTTTATTAATATTTATGTGAACAAAATGATGTTGCATTGCAACTTTATTAATGTACGTTAAATTCAAAGTTCTCATGAGAGGACCGTTTTCAAAACGATCAAGTATTTATTCAATGATTTATTAGTTGCATCAAAATTTAAATTATTAATATTTTAATATATATATATATATATATATAGTACTTTTTATAATAAATTTATTAAGAAATATTAATTAAATATATGAACAATTTAATATTTTTCAATGTTTAACTAAATTATAAATAATTTATAAATGTCTACTTTATTTAAACTAGTATGAATCCCGTGTGATGCACGGGTAAAAGATATTTATTAATATTTATAAATTAAAAATACCCATTAAATAATATTTATAAATTAAAATATGAATTTAATTAATTTATTGAAAATTATATACGAAATTTAAATTGTGCAAAATAACATAAAACATGTATAATTAAAATTATTACACAACGCGTATGGTGCATGTAATTGATAATAAATTATATTATAATCATTTCAAAATAAGTGTTATTTTAAAATTTGTATTCATAAATTTTATTCGCCTATAATGTGATTCCATAATAATATTTTCGTAAAATTTTATCATGTAACTAAAAATCTATGTGAATAATATGTTTAAGTATAAAACTTATATTGTTTCATTAATTAAAATAAATTTATTTTTGTACAAGTTATCCAAATCAAAAGATTTAAGTAGTTGAGTAATTTATTAAACTATAAATAACATAATATTTCATTTACGTCCAAGTTAATATTGACTGTAATTTATGAATAATTAATTATTTAATTTTTAAATTTGGACTCAAATTTAAACTACACAATAAATTTATATATATATATATATCAAAATTTTAATATATATATATATATATATATATATAATATTTCACAATTTTTTAGATTTATTGTCGGTTACCCTATTGTTCAAATTTATCAACTAATTATCTGGAATTAAATTACAAATTTTATATATTATTAACCAATATTTGTTCAAAGATCTTTTTATTATTTTTTAAGAGGAATACATATCAATTTGTCGAATTATCACCAATTTTTTATGACAGGTTATTATGGAAAGGGTTAATTGCTATTTAAACCTTTACCTTTCAGCTTTTGGCAATTTAATCCAAACTTTTGGATAATTGCAATATAATCCTAACTTTGACTTACTTTTGCAAAATGAACTTAATTTTCGCCGGAGGTTCAAAAAATGCTAGCGTGTCCGATTGTTTATATCCACATTGGATTTTCAGTTTGCTGAGTGGCAACACATAAAATACGTGGAATTTGGCAAATTTAAGATTTAATTGTACAGTCATCCCCAAAATTAAACCTCATAATTGTACCCAAAAAAAAAAAAACCTGATAAAAAATTTCCCAAATTCTTAGAACCCTACATCTCCACCTTGACAATCATGCCGCCAGTATTCCGGCCACCACCGGTGACTCCAATGTCAAATGTTGGGAAAAGCTTCTTTACCTCTAACCCCACTAAAACACTCTACAGAAACCCTAATTTCAATTCAATGCCAATCTCCACCATCACGCAATGCCTCTCTTCGATGGGCATCAACCTCGCCGCCGCCTGTCAGATTATCGATATGTAACCTCAGCTCTTCATCGTCGACCCCTACAGAGGCGTTTACCGAATATTCAATTTCCTATGAAGCTCGAAAATTCATAATTCAGGGACCTAGAACTCAGTTCGGGCCTAAAGGCCCGATTGAGGCCCACATTGGAGTTTCTGGTTGAATTCGGCTTCTTCGGCCCAATTCGTTGATACCAAAGGTTGAGTTTTTGGTTGGGATAGGGTTCGAATAGTATGACGTCATACACAAATGGCGCTGGGGTCACTGGGAATTCAATCCAAACAGAAAGGGATGGGGCTGGGGACGAATGCCCGACCGACGGCGAATTTAGTGGTGCAGTAGGTAAGGATGGTCGCACCGGAATCTCCCACCCTTGCAACGCCGGCGAGGAGGAGCTTTTGGCCGGGGAAGGTAAACTGGACTGTCGTGAAGGTTTTGGGAGGTGGAGTTCTTTTTTGCCTTTTTTTTATTTTGTTTTGTTAAATTGATGATTATGATAAGTGTATGATTTAATTTGGGGAACATTTTTATAAGCTCTAATTTGTTGATTGGTTTAATCTAGGGCATTTTCAGAATTTTAATTGAGGTGGATTTTTTTATTTTTTATTCCTAACTTGTTAATTCCACTCAGCAAACTGATTTCCAACGTGGATATATTTTGCCTGACACGCTGGCATTTTTTGAACCTCCGATGAAAATTAAGTTCGTTTTGCAAAAGTAAGTCAAAGTTAGGATTATATTGCAATTATCCAAAAGTTTGGATTAAATTGCCAAAAGCTGAAAGGTAAAGGTTTAAATAGCAATTAACCCTTATGGAAATATGTTAACATTTGAGAATCATATCACCTTGATTTTATAACAAATCAACCTAAAATTCGAGTTTTATACCCATATCAAATATAAAACTAATACCACATATTTTATTTTCAAACTTTTCAGATACACTTTTATCCATACCAAATAAAATTCACCATTTAAATTCAAACATTTCATACCGAAATAAAATCGTCCACTTTATACCATAAAGGCATTAATAATCGTCCACTTAATATATAAATTATTATAATATGAATTGATCAAATGTTTTCAGCCGTGAGATTAATATAATTGATTAATATATTACATTATTTATTATGTTTTTTAAATGAATAACATTAATTTCAATTGTGATTTGATGATAAGAAAATGTCTGATGTGATGAACTATAAAAGATTAATATATTAATTGCTAAGTAATCCACCGTGATTTTTGATTTATTTTAAACTTTTAAGTAATTAATATGATGTCAACCTCTTTTGGACGTTTTGAAAAAATAAGCTACGTTGAATTCAAAATATGATTACTTTTAAGTGATTACATTTTCCATCATGAGGTATTCACAGATTATTGTTCCAATATTATCTCTACACCATTAATTTTAAATTCAAATCCGTCAATAAAAAACTACACCATTATTGTTTTCAAGCTTTCTATAAATAGAATGTCAAAGGTATTATTTATTTGGTCAAAAGTTTCCAAAAAAGATTTAACCAACAACCTTTTTATATATAGATAGATATGTATTTTTACTTGTATTAAAGACAGTATCAAATGTAACAAAATTTATTTAAAAAATCGTACCGTACTACCAGTCTGGCCGACCGATGTTAACCGGTTCTCTAGTAAATATTTTATTCAAACGATATATATTTATTTGGTATATATTTATTATACAAAATTTGTTTCATGATATATACATGCAATGTTTTACATGATCAACACGTACTGTTAATGTGCAAGGAACCATTCTACTTGATAAATGTCGTAATTTGCAGCCATATCAATATACACTCTATACTTATGAAACAATGATTTTATGGTTTCTTACGCAATGACGGTAAACAAGAGCCAGGGACAATCGTTATCCCAAACCAAAAACGTTGTGTACAAGAAAGTATTCAATAATTTATAATTTTTTGTACCTATTTTGCAATCCATTTATTTTTGTTACATATATATAAATTATATTAAGTTTAATATTTCACATGTTAAACATTCCAGAAAAGGATATTATCCCGTGCATCGCACGGGTTACGCGCTAGTAAAAATGAAACTGTTAAGAAAAAGCGAACCCCAAAAACAGTTATTCATTTCTTTCTGACGAAATTTTCAATTTCTAAAAATGAAAGAAAAATTTCACAATCTTAATGAAAGATTAAAACTAAGAATAAAAGTGTAACACCCCCACTTTTAAAACGCTTGAAATCAGAGTAATTTTTTGCTTTTCAAAAATAATTTTAATAATTTTGATTAACCCTTAATATATCTCGGAACGTTCCCTTTTCTTTCTCTGGAAATCGTTTTCTTTTAATTAGGCCAAAGGTACTGATTTAGGACTTAGAAAACCTTATTGTCGAATAGTCATTTAAATATTCAATCTAAATCACACATCAAGATAGATTGATTTGAGGAATTACTAAATCATGCATTATTCGGCAACATAAAATCTAGAAATAGCGGAAATGTAATCATAGTTCATCAAGTATTTCTATTTATTACAAAAGATAATAAATATCCTTTATTAGCCATCTGGGCTCGACCACCTCCACCTTTGCTTAGCCTGCCCGCTCGACTCCATTACCTGAAATATCACAATTAGTGGGACGTGAGTACATAACTATGGTACTCCGTAGAAACCCATAATAAAAGCAGTAAAAATCATAACATTAAAAACTGGCATATGCATATAACTGAAAGAACTGGCATATTTAATATAACTGAATTCTTACTGCTTTCGAACACATTGGTCGGTATTATGTGCACACTCCGATGATATAATAATCATATTGTAATCCTACCGGAACTTGAGTTACGGACACATTAGCCTCTACACAGGCGATAAATCATACGAACCTGGCTGTTACCCACTCATCGGGGTACATACCTCGGATGTGGTAACTGAGAATATAACATAAGTAAATACCGGTACAGGTTCCCACCTTTTATGCTGTGGTAAGAAATGCTAAACTGCTTGACTCCTCAAACTACATAGAATTTAATACAAATATGCTAAGTCTTATGCTCGAAATACTTAATAAAATACTGAGATGTTGTTTTATGCTCGACTGGTTTTAGCTCGGTTCGAAACTCATTTTAAATCTGAATTTTGAAGAAGTTCTCTAGGATTCTTAAAATATTCTAATTACGGAAATAAAATAACTGATTGAAACTGTTCTGACTTGGTTCTGAAAAATACTAAAAATTCCAGTACCGACTCGGATCGAAAATATCAAACTCGATATCTCGAACCAACTGGTTAAATGGACCGGTTCGTTGGCATGGATCGGCGGCTCATCATAAGCCAGTCGGTCACTGGTGACACGAGTGCCTCGGCCCGGTCACTAATGACTCGAGTACCTCGGCTCGATCGTGCGAGACGCGGCTGGTTATTGTCGCATGCACCAGACCACAGGTGCTATCCACACGGGCACTCGGGTTAGTTCTAGCGCCACTGGCATAGTCCTTGGCGTTACCGGGTGCTGCTGTGCATAGCCAGGTGCTGGTAGTTGTTGCCAGACACGCTGGCACGAGGCCTGACACGGGTGCGTGCTACCGGCACTACCCGTGGACACTGGCACTGGTGCTGACACAATATAGGCATACTCGGTACGCACACGGGGCACAGACACGAGCAGGCGCGGGTGCTAACTTCTGTTCAGAAGCACTTCCCCGAGAAGTTAACCTCTGAACACGGTAGCTGTCGGGCGCTAGCGCACGCTGCGTGCATAGCAGCGGTCACGATCGGCTCCTCGCCGGCCGTCCGACTACATTTCCGATGATCCTCGACTTACCCTATTTATTTAAGATGAAAGGAGTCTAAAAATGTATAAAAACATTAGGATGATTCAGCTCGATTTTAAAATAGTTCGGGAGACAAAATGGGCCAAATAGGGTTCTAGGTCACCGAATCACTTAACTCTTTTTATGAAAATACTTAGGGCCAAAAACTTAACATAATAAATCATGGTTTACGGCACTAAGAGCTTGGTAAAGACTCGCATGAAATTGTACTTGGTTCGGTTGGTCATAATTGGCTCAAAAATTTGATTTCTACTTGACCGAGTAAATGAATTTCAAATAATCTCAAACTTTACCTACTCATATGACATGATTAATAATGATTTGAGGAGTACTAAACTCGGCTATGGCACGCATGGAAATACAACTTCCGAATTTAGGGATTAATTAAATAAAAAATCAAAAACCTTCATATCCCTCGTGGCCTAAGTATAAATGTGTTTACCTTCACCAAAATTTGAAACTAAAAGAAGCGAAGCTCAAGGCCTCTTCTCGGGGTCTCCTCGGCAGTGGTGGTTCTCCGGTGAGTTCATTGCTGTGGAAGCTGATTGGAAGTGACTCCTAGGTTGTACATATCTTCTAGATAAAGTATGGATCGAGATAACTCGAAAAAAAAGCCCGTTGTTCGGTAGGATCGTGTGGCTCGCGATTAGGGCTCGAAAATGGTTTGTCTGGCTAAGTTTGGATTTTTGTTGAATTTGATTGAATTTCTCTAAGTGTTTGGACTTTCTCAGCCTTTCTTCAGTGTTGAGATATATAGGAAGAAAGAAGGCCCCGTCAATTTGCATTAAAATATGAAATTTTGGATTTTTCTTCCTAACCCATCCCTTTCCCTTGGGTATAGTGCCATGAAAGGATAGTAGGCACGTTTATCCATCATGTATCTGATGATAGCTCGGTCAAAGTCCATCTTGGCCGAAGAATTGGGCTGAAAAACTCGTTGGGCCGTGGTCGGGCACTGGGCCATGTGCTGGGCTGCACGCACGGGTGTGGGCTGCACCATGGACCGCGCGTTGCAACAGGGTGAAGCTGATGTTGGGCCTTTGGTTGAGGCCTATCCACCAACTTAATGCATTTGACCCTTGCTTACATAATAGGTTGGGTCGAGTGAGGTGCTGGCGCATATGGGTCAAGAACTGTCATAGGTGTTAGATATGCTGCAAAAGCTTGGCTTTCAGATATGAACAATACCATTTTGATCTGGCAATCGTGTTTTAGTCAAAGTATTTATGTTTGCAGTTTATTTATTTATGAAATCATAACTCCATTATTTTACATTGTAGATAATATGGTCTGTCGTGTCGAATAGAAAGATCATATTATCGGTTCCTTGTAAATATAAGTTTGTTCACAGTTTTGACAGGCAGTGAGACCCCTGTGGGAAAAAGACTGTAGTGTAGTCTTGATTCAGTTGATCTTTGACTGATGAATTACAATAGTATTTATGATAAGTATTGAACGGACCGCGGAAGGATAGATTCTAAGATTTACTGATCGTTGTTATAATCTAGATCTTCAGTGATTGATGCATTCTCTTAAGCTGTAAGATAATATAAAATGAGAATATATATTCATTACTCACCTATTTGATTTACCAAGGGTGATTCCTATTCCGTTAGGATGACATACTCGTTATTTTGGTAAGTAAGAGTGTTTATATGATGTGCCATTATAAATTATTTACAGTCACTATGTCCTAGTGCGCTGGGTTGATGACGTCCCCGAAATGAGCTCAGGAAGGAATATTATGTCAAACCCTGCAGGTGGATATTTATCTGGCATAATGATTAATGAACTGAGTGGTACTAATTTCAGAAATGAAAGAAGTTAATTTAATTTAATTGTCAGTAATTAAATGAATTGATGGGCGTTATATCTTAAACACAGGGAGGTGAATCAGCCAATTAGATTAATATTAATAATTATTTGGAGGTTTGAGTTATTGAATAAATTAGAGCTAAATGGGGAGAACAATAATATTACTCTAGGGGGATGTTTTATTATTGGGTTAATTGCCAAATAAACCTCGACCTTTTCACTTTTGGCAATTTAATCCAAACCTTTGGATAATTGCAATATAATCCGCCTTGTCTTATTTTTGCAAAATGAAGTTAAAACCCGTCGGACGGCCAAAACATGCCAGCGTGTCCGGCTGTTTGTATCTACGTGTAATTTTCAGTTTGCTCTGTAAGATTATTTAAAATACGTGGAATTTCATAGGAAATTCTTATAAAAAACCCGTTCCCTTCCCAATTTCACAAATTTCTCAACCCTAAATTCTCAATATTACTTTCGAAAGTTCTTTCTTTTTTTTTTTTCTTTTGGCAGACGATAGCTCGAGCAAGCAAGCCATGATCCTGCTAGTGGAAGACATCGTCTTCATCTCGCGCAAGCCAGAGTTTTGGAAGCTTCAGTGTTCCTTCGAAAAAGCTCTGTCGCCATCGCAAGGTAGTCGATGTGTTTACCTCCATGACGGACGATAATCCATGTAGAAGGTTCCATAGATGTGGTACGTGGAAGGTGAGCTACGTATATTGTGTGAGAACACTAATTTCTTCAAAATCCCTAAATTTTATAAACCTGATTAAAACCCCAATTTCTATAAACCCTAATTTTTCGATTTACATTGTTTAGGAAGGGAATGACTGCGGTTTTTTCGATTGTTTCTTCAAAATCCCAAAATTTCATAAACCTAATTAAAACCCTAATTTCTATAAACCCTAAATTTTTGGTTTACATTGTTTAGGAAGAGAAGGACTGTGGTTTTTTCGAATGGATTGATCCCGAACTTCATGAGTTCCAAAAATCTTGTTTTTTGCAATTGAAATTTAAGAACGAGTATTTGGAAGAGCAGTTGAGGGGTAAGGTTGCAGTGGAGAAAATGTACAATGGAAAGGCATTGGAAAAAGATGAAATTGCAGACCGTGACATTGATTTTGAAAAAAATCTGAATGATCTTGAGGTTAAAGTTTAGAAGAACAATGTCGTGCTGGTTATGAAAAATACACTATGTCTCATGCAAAAACTGGAAAGGAAGATGAATGTTGTAATGTTTTGCTTGATTGTGGTTATAATGATTTTTTTCCTTAGTTTGGTTGGGAAATCTGGCCATGAGCAGGGGCCTAAAATGTTGCTTTGAATATTGTTTTGTTTTATCTCATTTAGTGGATGTATTGAACTTAAGAACTAATGTAATCTATTGTTGTATTTTATCTCATTGTTATTGTCCTTTTTTTGTTATGTTTTGCAATTCTTTAAATAGAATTTTGTTAAGCTAACTGAGATCACATACTTAACATAACAAACCAACACATTATTTATAGGACACTGAGATCAACATTACAATGATCCAGCACTCTAAACATTACAACAACACTACAAAATACCCAAACCTGCTTACTTCCAAACAATATCACATACTTGACACAACAAAAACACTGCATCTAAAGAAGAAATCTGAGATGAACAACACTCCAAAATCATTACTAAGTTCTTTCAACAATCATTCTTTGTTCAAAACATAACCCAACAGAATTCAACATCATTACATTCACAAAGTTATCCATCATTGCTAAACCATTTTGAGTGCCTAAAACAGAAAGCAAAAGTTCATCCACAATCAACAATACTCCAAAAGTAAATCTAAGTCAGTCATCCATAGTTCAAAAGTACTCCAAAAATCAACAACACTCCAAAATAAATCAAAGTTAATCATTCTTGCAAGCAACACTCTCTTGAGTGCCTAAAGCATCCTTAGTCTTCCTCCCCTTTTGCATTTCCCCCTTTCCTCCAGTCTTACTTGAACTAATGTAACACCCCGCTAACTTACTAGTATCAGAGTAAAATTTTTGCAACTTATTTCGAAAATACATATATATTTTTCGAAATCATTTAACTTAACTGGGGATGCTACTAAACTTATCTATTCTGAAAATCTGTTTTTCTTTAACTTGGTCTAAATACTGGTTTAGACATAAAGAAAACAGATATGTATAATCTAATCAAACTAGCATGTAACTCAACCAGACCTGTCTATAGATCCGATAAAATCTGAAAACTAGCATGCAAGTTTGATTCTGAAAATAACGTCAGCGGAAATGTAAAGCGTGGCAAAAATATATACAAACTGAGTATATACAAAAGTCCACAAAACGGCTGCTGAGCCGTATCCACGGCCACCACCACAACAACTCAACTCACGCCTACGGCCCGACCCGAACATCTGAAATAAAAAACATAATAGTGTTGCGTGAGCACGAAAGTGCAAAATGCTCCGCAGAAACCCATACTAAAGTAAACAGCAATAATAATAACAATATCATGATCGTCAGTATATATAAACTGAATCTAAAACTGAAACTGTAACTCAATCTCCCGGCAAATCTGAAAACTCGGCCGGTAACCATGTGCACACTCTAGTGGAATATTAAGGCAACTAGCGGCCACCACAGAACTTAGGGGAAAAACTCATGGCAACTAGCGGCCACCACCCTAAGCGGATAAACTTAATATATATACATACCTTGGACATGATATCAGATATTATAGTCAATGTAATACCCAGTCTGGGCTCCCACCTGTACTTTTGAAAATGAAATGGCAGTGCTGAACTTGAAAACTGTCTTATCAAACTGTATAAAAATATAAGCAATTAATATACTAAGTACTATGCTCAGAATACTCAATAAAATGTTAAAATTCTCGAATTTAATTCCTAACTTATCCGAATGTTCGATATAAAATTATAATAAGTCCGGATTTAACTGATTTAACTTGAACTGAACTGATTTTGGCTCGAAAATTACTAAAAATTCAAAATACGACTCGGACCGAACACACGAACCCAAAAATGACTCGAACCGCCGGCCGAACCGGCCAGTTCACTCGCTAATTGGACTGGACTTGCTGAACCAGTTTAACTTGGACCATATATACTTGTAAATTTCAACTATGCACCAACTTAGCACATAAATCACTTAATTCGAATGAAACCGAGCCTTTAAACTTCATGATTTTTGAAAAATCATAAAAAATTCTAAAAATTCTGAAACTTGGTAGTTAAATAGTTAACAAACTCAAGTACTTGCTGCTCAAATTTCAGCTCAATAGCACTTCATTTTCTCATTCAACTCAAGTGCTAAACTTAACATATCGTTATGCTAATTATACACATAACTTCAAAGAATTTTATAAAATCCCATACTTATCATATCAAGCTGAAACTTGGTCATCTTGATCATCACTCATACAAGAGATATTCATAAAAGTTTCACATCAAAATCATGAGTGTAGACTGAGTTTTATTGCAACTAAGATCAACTTGACATGCTGGTAGTCTAACATTTTTATCTTGTTTATTTCTCATCACTTTGAGCTGAAATTGAACAGTCATACTCTTAACTAATATGTTAACATGTCATAAAAATTTCATATTAATAGCATTTCTATGGACTGAGATATTCGCATTTTAAGTGGCGGCTGAAACAAAGTACTCGAAAATCACTTTGCACATTAAACTTCAAATACTTGTAACTCGAGCTATACTTATTCAAATAACATGATTCTTTCATGAAAATACTCAGCACAAGTATAGGAATTACATATGTTCAACTTACTTTACTAGTTTGATCATAGCATGCACAGAATTGAACTCAAACAGGACATATGCTTCATGTACATGAATGAAGAGCCCTTATACTTATTATAAATTTATGCCACTTGAAAACTTGAACTTTCAGCTTATCCTAGCACATATTAAAGCTCTATAACTCAGCTATATAACAAGCTAATATTTCAGTTCTTACCTCTTCAAATCACTAAGCAAAAGATCAAAGAAGATGGTGCTAGGGCTTCTTCTCGTGACAATTTCGTACGTTCACGAACTCGGTTGCTATTTTTTTATTTTTTTCCTAATTTCTAAGTATTTGCTGCTTCTTTGAAGTAAAAGTATTCATTTTCATCTGATTTTTAGCTCATATAGCCGTGGTTAAGAGGTGGGAGATGAGTAACGGTCTAAGAAAATTTAAGGTAAAAACAAGTGTCCTTATGTTGACC